TATTTTTTAACGATAATCATTTAATAATACTCTTGAGGCTTCCACGGACACTTCCTATATAGAAATTATGTGTTTCACGGATTATTTCTGTGTCTAAATCCATCAAGGCGAGAAGCAGCCTGATCAGCTCTTAGCCTTATCAGCATTACTGTATCAGCAAGGACTTTATTTGAAGGACTTATTGTTAGTATCATGTTGCTTCTCGCCCTGATGAAGTGAACTATAATGTTCACGAAACGCTAGCATTCTAAGAAAATGGATTTGATACGAAGATAACCTGTGAAACGCATAATTTCTGTATAATCATTTAAAATTATTTAAAAGATTTATTTATTAAAAATTATAATAATTTATTTATTAATTAAAAATTATTCTATTATAAATTTATTTATAAAGAGAATTATAAAAAGGGGTACAATACATCATTGTATAATATTTCATAACAATGCGGTATTTATTAATGTTTATTGATTACTGAAAACTACAACACGCGACATAACGACTGAAAAAACATCGCGTTACGACATTGAGATGATATTCACGTTACGCAAGTTATAAAATAACTTCGATAAAATCTTCGAGTAACGTAAATACCTACCAGAGATAGAGTCCTTGTACGATTGCGATTCGCGAGAATTTGATATCGTCGCGCGATTCGCAGGAGGATATTTGAACAATAATATCAAATATAGTATAATATTCTGTTTCCTCTAACTCATCTCTGCGTATTTCTCTCAATGAATACCTGTTTATAATCGCACGCAGCTCAGCGATGTACTTACGATACTTTGTACAGCGTATTATTGCACATTGTCTCTTCTTAGACGCACCTGGACCACGCGTCTTAAGGCCGGGATTAAGATTGTTGTCAGCCTCGCTCGACCGATGAATCCGCAGCAACCTGCGAAGCTATGTTTGACTGTTTTTGTTGTAGCTCATTGGGATGACGAGTGGGTCGCGTCGTGCAGCGCACACGGAGCAAACCGTAAGGCAACCAGCCGTTGTTATTGGCGTGTACTCCAGTTTGATTGTTCTCTCTGCTGCCGGCTGTGACATCCCGTTGCGCCTGCAGCCGATGCAGCATCGCGCCTGCAACGAGGGCGGAAACGACTGCCGAGAGCGCGACGATGATGAAAAGCGCGCTAAAACCTGGCATTGGCAGACAGATCCCGTAAACGACCTCTTCGCGTATCCTGCCCTGAAAAACAGTCACCGCCTCAGCATGCGTGTCCGGACTAAAGGCTAGATCCGCCTCGGAGATGACCTCGTAAATACCGCTGACACCAACGTCAGCGCTACGCGCTTTTCTATCCGTCACCGTCACCGAGCGTTTTCGACGGGTGATACTGGCGGAAAGCGGCGTCACCGGCCCCGCGCCGTTGTCCTCCTCCAGATTCCGTGGTCCATGTGGAAATTGATCCTGTTCGCTCTCATATTTATTCACTCGCGATGGTTCCTAAAAAAGAAACAAGCGATGTGATTTATAGTGTATGTTGATCGATTGAGACAGATATATTGTTTTTACATTTACCATAAATGGTTTCGATAAATCGACATAATCCGGCTCGCTTTCGTGCTGCGTTTCAATCACAGTTGATGGTAACCGATTACTCGTCTGTGCTTGAGCTTTTGGAATCGACTTTTCAACATCTAGAAAATGTCCGCCGATTGACGTCATATCGTCACCGTTTTGAATGACATCATCGTACAGAGAACCATCTCCATGCTCCGCATTGCCATTCGCGTCTTCGTTGTCTTTATTCGAGCTACTGTTATCGTTGTCTTTAGAAGGAGTAGAAGTTGTCATACTCTCTATGTACTGCGGTCGTATATGATCCTTTCTTTCTTGAATATAATGAGCTATAGAGCCGCTCAATTGACAATGATCCAGACAACCATGCCGGCATATTTCCACCTTTTTGTATAAATATTTTCAAATTTGTTAAAAGAA